AAATTTAGTAAAATACTCGTATTTGCAAATACAATAAAAATACTTTGAAAATAGTATTAAAATACCACAGGAGAAGAAAAGCAATAGCACGCATATATTGTGAAAATACATCAAAAATAGGATGCAAAAATGCAAAAACAGTATAAAATTGTAAGAAAATAGCCTTAGAGTTGTCTGAAAACAGTACAAAAATTGGTCGAAAGAGCATAAAAACAGTACAAAAACAGGATGGAAATACCATTTAAATTCATGAAATAAAATGAATACAAAACCGTCGAAAATTACCCTGAAGATTTACCTCGGCGAAATTTCTCCAGACGGTCCTAGGCTAGGATTTCACGAGAATTATCTCTTAGCCGATTACTTTGCGTTGACTTCCCTAAGAATTCTCGGGAAAATTCGTATGGAATTTTTTCAGAAATGCTCAAATCAATCTTTAGTACACACCCCCTCCCCTCAATAAAAATGGAGGGGGGTGTATACACAGGCTATCAATCTTCGGCTTCAACAGGGTATAGCGTTAGTGACGTTACCGGTAAATAATAATCTACATACATGTAACTTACATTGCTTATTATATTCACGGCTTTACTCAAATATCATCAGAAGCTTGCAGGCTACGCCTGTACATTAATTCTTGGCTGATAAAGAACAACATTAGAATAACATCATCAAATTTACGCGAGAATGAAAAAAAATGAGGCCGGTGACGTGAGATCACATACAAAATAGCGAGGTTGAGCAAGGAATTCTGTAAAAACTAAAATTGCCGTACAGGCGGGAGTATATAAATGTTTACTACCCTTCGTTTGTTTCTCATATGGCGTATATTTAAGCGTCTTAGTAATATGTTATGCATTTAGAGGGAACGTTGTATATAATACTCACAAACATAGCAGTCGCTGAGGAGTCATACCCATTTTTGATTCGTGATAAAAGAAAAATCTACGTGTTCAGACAATCTGCAGAGTTCAAGCGTACTTTTGTAAGATCGTAACAAACAGTACAACAGCTACCGCCGGTTCAATAATTTGAAATGAGCAAAAGACAAAGGACGGTTTGTTTATCACCTGCATTTGTCACATCACCGAGGCGCGAGGCCGTGATTTCAGTCGCGCGTGACATCTCAGAAATAATATGCCATGCATGTGGGAATAATCTATGAGAGAAAGATAACCATATGTCGGAGTTTATTCAGATCTGAGCGTTGTTTCTTGGTGCAATATATACGAGGATCGTAGCTTGGATAGTTCGTTTATTATGTAACTTCAAGGGCTTATTTTAGACAAACCTCTGTTGACCGCGTGCATCTGGTTCTCGGCCCGCGGCTTTGGCTGTTTCTGAAAAATTTCGAGATGAAATTAAAATGCGATTTTAAGAAGTTTCTTTAAAAAAAACCTATGGAACTCATGTCTTGTAACTGCATTAATTGAATCACGGCTAAAATCTAGGCGGAGATTTCCGCAGAGAGCCTGCAGGTAATGAACATTGAGGAACGGATTGATCTTTTATTTGCACACTGTCACAGTTACGTGTTGTCAGTCAAAGCTAAAATCTATTCCTAATTTTCTTCACTTTTTTCAATTTCTTTTCGATTTGCTAGGAGATTTAATTTTCGCTCAGCTTCGAACTGAGAGAAGAATCCGGTCCACAATATGTGACAGCTTGTTTTGAGTCATTAAGAAGCTTAAGCACGAGGACTTTTCAAGACGACGTCGCCGTCAATTAACGGTTGAGACTGGGACTAGGTCTATTGCGCATGACATACCCCAGACAAACGACGTCGCTCTGCCGCCGACGACGTGAGTTTGGACAATTTGACGGCGTACTGGAAAGGTGAGTGATTTATGAGATTTAATTGCTTTTGTAGGGTTTTTTTAATTCTGTTTTTGGTTCATACGATTTCATCGATTTCAATCGATGCTCAAATATGTTTTTAGTTGAGTTTAAGAACAGCTTCTGCCTTTTTTAAGCAGTTTTTTAGACGATAGAAATGGCCACGGCCACAGAGCAAGATCATCCGACGAGCAAACCTCCCCTCAAATCGTAAGTAGAATGAAATGTCTTATCTGCGAATGAGAAAAACAGACATATTGCATCGACCGCGTTTTAACATTTCAAAAGAAATGGAAACCTATGTCGCTATTTCCCTGTTTGTCTGTCTTTCCGAAGTAAGTGTTGATTTTTTTGGATGTTTGAAGGTTATTTATTTTGCAATCTAGTGTTCATGTATGGGAAAAGTTTTCTGCAGTTTTTCTGGTGCAGTCAACATGGTTAAGTTTGGTTATTCTCACTTAACCTCCCTTAATGCCGTTATCAAATACCTTTCAGAAAGTACAACTTTTGAGTTTATTCATAGGGCAAGCAAACATTAACATTAACAAATAAATATGACAATTGACACTTTCCTGTTGATTTATTTTTAGAGTAATGCAGTGCTAACCGGGGCATGATGCCATATTTTTAAGAGAGGTCCTTGCTTCAGATCTCTATTCCACTCGCAAAAGTAGCTCTGAAAGGGGAAAAATTTGATCACAGCTTGCTGAAAAGTTGAATGAAGTGTCCAGCTGTAAATTTATTGTTACACAAAAATCCCTAATAGATCGTTTAAAGCTTTTGACGCAGAAGCACAAGCAAAAAATGAGGTCAGAGGAGAGAGCTAGTGGAATAGATCCAGAAATTACTGAAATAAATATAATGCTTGAGGAAGTTTGCGAGAAAGAAGAAGTGGCAGAAGAGGAAGATGAGACCAAAAGAAAAAAGCCAAGGCAGAAAAGGAGAGTGCAGAGAAAATGAGGTTAAAAGCCATGGAGAAATTGAGTGAGAGCCAGAAAAGAAAGGATAGCAACGAGGAAGCTCAGCCCAAAAAGAGCAGAAAGAGTATTGGTGATGCTGTGAGCTACCTACAAGAGAAGTCAAAGCAAGAAATTGCTTTGAGGAAAGAGGAAATCGAACTGAAAAAGCAAGAGGAGGGACGAATTGCCCATTTGTCTGAACAGCAACTTAAAATGCAGCAAAACATGCTGCAGATGATCCAGCAACAACACCAGAATCAGCAAAGACAACAGCAAGAACAGCAGAGACAGCAAGAGAGGCTTCAGCAGCAACGACTTCAAACCATGCAGTCCATTCTAAACCAACAGCAACAACAGTGACAAGCAATGCTTGCTTTGTTTGAAAAATCTGCTACCAAGAAAGATCCCTGAACAAACAGGATATTGGATTGTAAGAAAGCATTCTGTTGTACATGGTTCACCTTTTGGAAAAAATAGTTCAGTAATGCCTTATGGCTGCAGTGTTGTGTATTTTTAGAAGTTGATGCTATTGAAAATTAAATCAGGGTGTTGTTTTCTCTGCCTGACTTTAAGGCATCTATTTAACTATGATTTTTATAGTGCTAAACATTTTTGTTATTTCACTTACATCAAGATCTTTTTTTATTGATACACACAGTGAGATGTTTTTTCTCCTTACAAGGAAACAAATGTGTGACTTTGAAGTTTCATAACCACTGATAGAGTTGAGTTCTCTGTACAGCTTTGAAATTTAGTACATAGAAATTAAATAAAAAAAACATTTTTCATTAATGTCACACAGAGGTGACAGGTATGGAAAGAAATACATACAGTGTAACTTTATTTATAGGCTCAGTCTCCAGCCACGGGTGCCTCGATGTGCGGGAGGTACTGTATTATAGGTACATCGAGACATACATGACTGGAGACTGAGGCTACTGTATTTACAGCTGTTTTTGTTGCGCATGGTCTTAGTTTAGACACCCAGAAGAATACCACCATCTACAATCTCTAAAGAATTCAGCAAACACTATTTGTCTATTCATAATGATAGAGTCAATTATAAAATTGACAAAAATAGTATTTCAACTTAATTAAGTTGGAGGTTTTACAGACTCATATTTGGAATAAAATATCTTTGGTTTTTCTCAGTTTCATACAAGTTATCTCTTATCAAAAATACTTAGAGTCAAACAAAATAATCTTGCAGGCTTGGGGGATCTAGCTGAAAATACTGTGAGGTTTCATTTCCATATAAACATGTAAGGGAATTTCTTAGTAAGGCAGATACAACATACATTTTGCCAAAGCTACCGAGCCCCACTTTCAGATTTTTCTTGAATTCTATAAATTTAAAGTAGTTTTGGACATCTGCAAATAGCCATTCAACCGATGTTCGCACAGAGTTCATTGACTGTTTGTAAAGCTGCTTCTGAGGGGTGAGGTAAGCGTCTCTAAAGGGGCCCTGCAGATGAACCCTTAGGGGGTAGGCAGGGTCCCCATATATGCACATTGGTTGCCCTGTTGTTGAAAATGCATATTGTTCAAGATCTTGTAGTAGTCCAGGATCTCTGAGCATACTGGCATCATGCCTCTTTCCCTCTAGAATAAATAGGGAATATCTTATTAAAAACCTTCATATAGATATTTATTGTTTACATGCAATTAAAGTCAATCTATTTCAAGTGACCTATCTTTTAATAATACACAGGCTTTGGTTATGAATGTTTTTGGCATGATAAGGGACTGATCAATATACCATGTGAAAGCATAACCTTTACAACATTGATATAGGTACAGGTAGATGAGAGAACATTCCATTTCCCTTGTTTAATTTTTTTATTATTTTAACTATTTCACCCTTCTTGTTGCATCAAAATTATTTAGTTCCGCTCATTTTTATTCAGTCCACAAAATGAGAGGCTGGGCTTAAGAGTCTATTTTAGAGTAAAATGGAGCAGGGCCTGTTTAAATGGAAGGAAGCCAGTGAGGTGAATGTTCGACTATAATATAAATTATATAGAGAGAGTCAGGTAAGCCCTCATGCTGGAATAATAACAAAATGACAAAAGAATCACGTAATTTTCACTTACCAACTGGTCCATATAGGCTACCAATCAGTCCATTAGGTATGGCAAGTGACTGATATTTTAAAGCGTGTACTCGCTTATGTCCATTATACATGATACGCTGGTGTTCATCTGGTCAAGCTATAGGTCGGACAGTTCCGTCTACAAATCCAAAACAGTTCTCCAATGCAGCCCCCTTTCCGTGGATAGTTTCTGCGTATACTTCTAAAGCACGAGGGCTCAGCAGTGTGTGATTCCATTGTGTTATGAGATGATTGTGAGAATTGTAAATGTAATCGAGGACATGATTTGTAGCCATACTAAAAACGGGAACTGGACGTCCAAAACGGTAAATGAGGTCTCCATATCTACAGGGATATGCAAGTCGCTTCAAGAGCATACAGAGGCCTTCCATACCATCTACAACACTCCTCTGAGAAAGTTGAAATGACCGTGGAATCCTAAGAGCTTGAGCCAGTGTTGGAAGATCTCTTTTCCTTACTCTAAATTCGGCTTTGCATTCGTCGTCGTTCATGTTATCCAAGTCAAAGCGATCGTACGAATCATAAGCAAAATCTGGATTTCGTGAAGAAAACAACTCGTACAAAATTATGAAATCCTCATCAGTAATAAGATCAACATCGTAGTAGAGAAGAAGGGTCTGACGAAACTCTTTAAAACTTGCCAT